CCCCCACTCCCTCCCCCTCACCTACGTGACAAGTGATAAAGCCTTTCGGATTCATGAATAAAAAACCGATGGGAGTTAACTTCACAGGACGCAGGAAAGTTTCCCGCACACAGATGTTTGGGCTCTCTGTTCCGTCCATGAGAGAGCGCACGTAGAAGTCCCCGAGAACCCAGCAGCAGCCTGCAGGGAAAGGGCTGCACACTCTCAAAAACCGCGCAGGGAACCAGAATTAAGCGCTTCAAGCGAGGGGATCGAAGAAGAGGAGAGAGGAAGGGAGAGAGTGAGAGACTGAGATAGAGATCCTATCTCGCTCTCCCAGTTGAGATCTTCAGCAGACTGCGTCCAGCATCTCGCCAACTGGTAAGGAAAGACACTTTTTCCCGTTTGTTTGTTGGTTTGTTTGTGTTTTTTTACGGTGCGTAAAAGTGGAAAAATCTTGGAAAAGCTCTATTGACTGTGGAAAAACTCTCAGCTTTGGGGTTTGGAACTAAAAGTAACGTAAAAAATAAGTGAATATCAGAAACTGGTTTGAACGTTAAGCAGATTTGATTGACGTTTTTTTTTTCTCCACGTGCCTTCTTTTACAGGAGGACGATGTCTAGTAAAGCGACTTTAGCATTACTCATCTATGGGATCATAATGCATTACAGCGTCCACTGCTCACCTGTGGGGCTTAGCTTTCCAAGTCTTAGGTACGTATGTGCTTGACTTTCTCCTTTCACTGTCACTTTTTTTTTTTTTTTACGCTTTTCGAAAAGCAGCCCTGCGCGTAATTGCGCACAGCGGTCGCAGGGAACCGGCCAAAGACGGCATCTGCTCTCTAGTTAGAGACGTCTCGGAGGATAATAGCCCGGTGGGCTACTGGATCCCATCATCTGACAGAAAATCCATCGGGTTTGGGACGCGTTCATCCACCAGGGAGCGGCGGTAACGCAATTTGGGGGCTCCTGTAGCGAAGAGTTTGACTTGTAGCCATTAACAAACCGGTTTACGAGACTAGATTAATAACAGAAATCCATTTTCGGCAGAATGGAAGTCTGATTGGAGCAAGAATTGAAGTTAAAACCGAGATTAAATGTTTGGAAGCGCAAACGTGTGGAATTTAGACTCGAAAATGTGTCTAAACGCAGTCAAATGTTTTCTGGAAAAACAACCCGTTTCTGTGTCTTTACTTTGGCCCGGCAGTGGGGTTTATGACGAGGATGGCAATACTTTACCCTCCCTGGATTTTGACGGGGACCAGATGGAGGTGAGGAGCCCCCAGTCGATGGCGGACGACGTCTTCAGTTTGTTCTACCCACCGGAGAAAAGGTGACAAAAACTTTTCTTTTTATTTGTTTTTGTTTTGTTTCGTTTCCAACCTCAGCTTTTTGGAGAGGTCCATGTCGAACATCCCCATCTCTCTCTCTTTCTCTGTCTGTGTTCAATGTTTGTTCAGTGTATATCAGCCTGTCGTCGAAATGTTGTTTCCTCTAAAGCAAAGACAGTTTAATTCAGCTTTTTTTCTTTTTCTTTTTCTGTGTTTCTTACCAGAAAATCCTTTAAAACTGTATTCCCACGGAGAAAACAGTGTCTCCCCTCCAAAAGATAGACAGAGGACAGAGACTAAAAATACTTCCTATAGAAAATTTTGATAAAAATACATCTAATTATTTGAACTTTAAGGTATAGTGCAGGGCTTTGAGGCAAAAAGTTTCCACATTTGATGATCTTGGATGGCTATTTCTTGCGCTGGGCGTGTGGTGATTCTCACTGTGTGGCTATCTATCATCCCAGAACGGAAAGGCATGCAGACGGCATGTTTAATAAAGCCTACAGGAAAGCGCTGGGTCAGTTATCAGCAAGGAAATACCTTCATTCTCTGATGGCAAAGCGTGTAGGGTAAGAACACTTCTTTGGTTGTCACCTTATGTGTGTTTGAATCTGATGTTTCTTGTCCTTTTTCGTCTTTTTTTTTTGTTGTGTTTCTGTGGACTGGTCCCTTTTAAAAAGCTCATAATTCATTCTGTTACCCGTACTGTATCTGTCTGTGGTGCCATTATTGTGTGAATCAGCCTTTATTAACGCCGTCAAACCATCATGGGGGGGGGCACAAACGGCCAATTGATGGATCTGGGGAGGTGTAATTCTTTTTTTTGCCGGTCGGCAGCGGGAAGAATTAACCCTGTCGGGGGTTTAAATTTATGTCCACGTGAATAATTCATGGGACTGAATAGGGCATTGGGAGGGGAACGGGGCTCCAGTGGTGAACGGGCCCATCACATCTTAATGGAAAATACACACCGGAAAGTCTCTTGGGCTCAAATAAAGCCGAGGGAACGGGAATAAACTGCTCGTTTTTGCTCTTAAATCATATTTCTATTTGCTGGGTGGCTGTCTTTTTCCAAACAAAATGGGGAATCTGGATATGAGAGGCTTTTCCCTTTAAGATGGTGGGCGTTCAGTTCAAGACAGTTTAAGGTTGGTGGGTGGGGTTGAAAGCATCTGTTACAATGTGATGGTGGAGACCTGTATATCTTCTTTTTTTCCCTTTTTTTTGGGCGGCACAGGGGCGGGAAAACGTTGGACAACAGCTCGGAGACCCTGTCCAAGCGCCACTCGGACGGGATCTTCACGGACAGCTACAGCCGCTACCGGAAGCAAATGGCCGTCAAGAAATACCTGGCGGCGGTCCTGGGGAAAAGGTATAGACAGAGAATTAGAAACAAAGGACGGCGGCAGGCCTATTTGTAGCATCCTCCACTCCCCCCCCCCCCCCCCTCCCCCCTCAACCCCCAAAAAAGAAAAAAAAATGTGTGTGCAGCCCCCAGATGAAGTCATTTCGAGATCTGACCAATCAGTGGATTGCTTTTGTGTTCTCACACATGTATTTCTGTAAGCGTTAGCCATCCGGTTCATATTTTTTGATAACAGTATTGTTTTTTTTGGTGTTTTTTTTTTGTACTTAAAGCACTTGAGGATGCACATATCATCTTTGTGGACCGACATTTTGATTCAGTTTTTTCATTATTCGGTAGACGTCGCCTCTCTTTACGCATTTAATTTAATCTTTTCTTTGAAGGCTTTATTGAGATGTTTGAGAATGTGATCTGCTTCAAAGAACCCTGTCTTTTAAACATTTAATGAAGGGGTATAATTGAGAAAGGAAATAAATAGTTTAAAAGACAATCAATGCATTAAAATGCTGCTTTTTTTGTAAAAGTGATATTAAGAGTTTAGTTGTCTTTATTCACAACAGCCTGGAAGACTTAGGTTTTCACCAAATCCTCCAAGAGATAAACTTTGACGCCCTCCCGGACGGGGAAGAGTTTGAAGCTTTTTTGGGAGACTGGCTGAAACAGTTTTCTCCCGAATTTGGGGTGAGTTTTCCAGATCTTTCCGGGGGCCGTTTCCTCGCAAGCGGGGTTTCTCACGCCCCCCTTTTTTTCCCCCCTCCCCCCCCCCCTCTTCCTCTCTCACCTCCTGATTCTGCTTCGATGACTCAAACGCCGCTCTTCTTCCACCTCATCTGTGCTCCTGTCTCACAGATTCTGCCTGTATGAGGACACACACATGCAGGCTGAAAGCGGAGAGGCTTTTCTCTGGCATTTCTTCTACATATCAGCACTGATTGATTCAAAGAAAAGAAAGAAGACAATAGCCTTTAGCTTTAATAACGCCCGTCTTAATTCGGACGATTTCACACAAATCTGAGACGAGGACCAGAGTACTTTTGAGGGTATTTTCGTTCCCCCTTTTTTTTTCCCTTCCATAAAAAAGCGAGATTGCCCCCTTTTTGGATCCCGTAAAGTGCCAATCCTGTGTTTTTTTTTCTATCATCTCGATTCTTTGTTGTGTACGGAAGTTTTCTCAAAAATCTCAGCCCATATAATAAGTATCACACGCATCCTTAGCACCGTTAGGCAAATTCAAAAGAAGAAGAAAAAAAAAAGAGAAATGATACTTGGTTACATGGTGACTTAAACATCAGTTTGTTCTTTGTGACGGACATAAGAGGAACTCTTGTGTTTGAGCCCTCCGGGTCTATTGTGCTTCCCTTTTTTCTGTCATGTGAACCAATGTACTATCTCCAGTAGACTGCATGATTAAAGTAATTGCACTAGCCACCGCATCTGTGCAGAAAACGAGATGGTTTTGGCTTGCTTTCTGACTACTACAAACATACATACCTGTCGTTAGTGGTTTTCTGTTCTGTGCTCTGTTCTCCTCACCCCACGTTTCTACACACACACTCGTGTGTGTTGGACCCTGTCCGCCATTTTCTGAATGTACTTCCCCTGATGGACAGAATTTCTCCTTCTAATGTCATGCTTGATAGCTTATGGAGAAGTTTTGTACTTTTTGAACTGTTTTTATGTGATGGAATCCATTAGAAAAACAAGTTTTTTTTGTTTTTGTTTGTTTTTTACCCCTTTTTCTGCGATCACGTGTAAAGAAGAGCAAGAACACAAGCAGAAACACAGTTTAGGGACACGCACAGTCCAGATAAAACACGCTGGTTTTTAAAAATGAAGGGATTTGTGGAATTGAAAGCTCCCAGTTTGCACGCTTCTCACCCCAAAATTTCCAAAAACAGGAAAGGGATACAAACCACAGGGTTGAAGTTCTTCGATTTGTGTTTACCGTTATCAATCTTTTTCCTTAATTTTGCATTCCCCCCCTCCAGGCTTTGTGACGCAGGGAGCAGTTTGCGGCTGTGGTGCCTTGCATCGACTTTTTAAAAAAACGGCCATGAATCACAGATGGCTCTTTAGTGGCCCTACTATGCTGCACGTCATCAGCTCACATTTCACCCCCCCCCCCCCTTTTTTTGGTTGTTGTCTTTGTGCTCCTGAGCTCCATCCGGCTTAAACATCCAGCGTTCCTGCTTTCTTTTGCACTTTGTTTTAGAGCTTTAGATTTTTTGTGAGAAGCATCGGGGAGCGTCGGCTTTCTCCAATGAAACACTATATGTAAAAAAAAAAAAAAAAATGAAAGCGCCAATAGCCTTACAAAAATGAAATAATCTTCAAAGATATATATATATATATATTTACTGTGTGGAAAAGTGAATATTAGATTACTACTTCAAATGGCTATCAGCAAGGACCAAGTCAATAAATGTCTAAAAAAAGTGTTGTAAGATTTGTATGAATAAATTTTTGTAAACAACAAATATTCCGTCTAATCTTTTGAAGCCAACGTCACGATCACCATAAAAAACACATATAAGGACACATTCTTTCACGTTCGAGGGAAGATCAACAACAGGAAGGGGGACAAAATTGACACAGAAAAAAATAAAGCATTACAATACACCCAAAGTCGGAGTGGACCACGTGGAAATAAAAAATAACGTCCATCACCTTTTTCAGCTCATCGTTGTGGGTCTTGTGTGTTTTTTTGTTGTTGTTGTTTTGGGTTTTTTAATGGATTGTCAGTCACGTGAAGACATTGCCGAAATAAATCAGCAAGATAGGCAAAGGAAAGGAAAAGCCTGGAGAAGAGAGAATAGACGTCCGGGTTTTTGGCGCTGACTCAGAGGCTTTTGGCGGAGGAACGCTGACACCAGTTGGCCGGGTGTCTGCCTCTCCCCTCGGGACAGCATGAGTAAAAGAGACGTGGGAGGGATCACCCACCCCGCCACACACACACACACACACACACACACACACACACACACACACACACGGCCTCGCTGCACTTTACACCTCCAAAGGACTTCAGCAGTTGCCACCCAGGGCCTGTGGGACTTTTGGGAACAGTTGACCAGCATCAACTCTGGTACTAAGACCTCTTTCAAGCAAAAGACTTTTAAAATAAAACGCCCATTGACAGACACACGTGTTTTAATGATATGAAATAGCATCACGAATGCTAAAAACTGGAGGGTTTGCCTGTTTGCCTTTGCACACATATTCCCAAATCTGAAACAGAAGGAATAATCTATTTGTGAAATAACAAACGTAACATTTTCCATACATTTGCCTTAAATAGTTGTAATCTTGGATAAAAAACACTGCTCTCTTAGCCCATAACAATTGCTTACACATACAGATTTTCTCTCAGTATTTTGTGTATCTATGTTTGTTTCTGAAGCTTTATTCTCTCTCTACAGTTATACATCAATACAATGTTTACTTCAAATGCATGCTCTTAATTGTTATTATAATATAATATTCAATTTTTCGAGGCTAAACGGCATCATTATAGTACATTTCTGAACACATCTCTTAAAAGATAGTCCAAATATTTTTTTCCCCCAGTGCTGGAAATTGAAAATAAGAGATAATAAATGTTAACTTATGATTCCAAGTCATGTCCTCGGAAAATAGGTAAAACATAGAGTGAAAAAATGAAAAGTGAGACTTCATTTTCTCCACGTTTCTTCTCCTTCCATCATCTGTTAGGCTGTCAGGTCAGTTGACATGACAGAGACAGGAAACATTTTCAACGCATCGAAATGCCGAATTGAAAGGAAAAGCCGGCATAAAAGACAAAATCCTCAATAGATTGGAGTGAAGTGGTGACGGGAATGCTTAACGATGGGTGTCAATAAGACAAAGCTGAGCGGAGAGATGGTCGGAGAAGGTCAGTTTGCTGACCATCAACCGGTGTTGTGTAACATGAAGCCCGTTCACATTTAGAGTCGTAAAGTCAGAATTCTCACTTCGGAATCGCTTTTTCTCGGAGTCACGAGGTCCAGATTTGGTGGGAGGGAAAGGGCCAGGGGGAAAGCTTGGACTTCAGAACATCTGCAAAACATCTGCAAAACATCTGCAAAACATCTGCAAAACATCTGCAAACATCTGACCGTGTGCCACCAACATTTTGCTCTTTTGCCCTTCCACCCAACGCTGGGATGAAATCCCCCCCCCCACAGTGTATCATCCTCCTGTCGAGCCCCCTACTCTGGGCGTGACATTTCTTGGTCTCCCCCATTCCGCCCGCTTTCCTTTCTGTCCCCACTTTTTAACGGTTTTTACTCTGAACCTGTCCAAACCGTTTAGATCAGTGTTTCCCAATCCTGGTCCTCAATGTTCATGTCTTCCAAGTTTCCCTGCTCCGGCACACCTGATTCTAACGAATGGGACTTTAGCGGCTTTCTGCATAGCTGAAAAGTCGTTAAAATTTATCAGAATCAGGTGTGATGGAGCAGGGGAACTTTGAAAACATGAACATTGAGGACCGGGATTGGGAAACACTGGTTTAGATGACCCAGCTCGCTTTTTGCTCGGACGAATTTTCCGGATATTGAGACGTTCCCTGTCAAATCACACAGCGGAAGGTTGGCCTGACATCCCATAACGTGTGTTACGGGATGCACAAAGCCTGTCGCGTCTCCCTCAGCTCCCCCGTGTGTGCGAATGTTTCAGATATGAAGGCCGGGCTTTGATTTTCGGGGCCTTGGCCTCGGATGATCAATGGGAGCGATCCCATTCCTCCTGGCCTGCGCCAGACCCTTCCCTAACCCCGCTAACCCAATCAGCCCCTGTTGCTAAGCAACCCCCCTCCCCTGGAGGATGCCTCGCAAGTACCGAAGGATCACAGAGGATCCGTTTCACTCGGACGGTTTCGGTCTCGGCCGTGTTGTCTTCCACGGGCTCCCGGGGAGGAAAACAGAGGTTGAGTAATGTGGCGTGATTCATGGCAGTGTGCAGACAGGCACACACGGTGTAGATAACCGTTTCACAAATGAATCACGCACGAAAAAATACACAACAGACAGACATGAAAATCTGCAGAAAGGAGTTGAAAAAATGGAAGAAAGCATCTGCATGTGAAAAGTGAAACTAAACTCACATAATAAT